AAAAAACCTAATTTTTGAATTTTCATACTATAAAGCTGATTTTTGAATTGGTGTAAAGTAAACACCTTATTTATGTATTTTTCCCTATAAATTTTTCCCATCTTGGCTTCACCAATTTATAGCATTGGAGTGGCCCAATACGAGATATGCTGGGTACAAAACCCTTTTTCTTTTTTCGGGTCGAGCCTAAACCTAAACCTGCCAATTATAATTAAACCCTAACCCTTCCTCCATCTTGCTCCCTTCCCTGAAATCTCCGCAGCAACTCTCATGGATGCTCAGCAACTATTCCCCGCTTCCGGCTCGAAAGTGGATCGTTCAACCATAGACAGTGCGGTAAATGCCTTGATAATATACAAGGCCAAGGAATCTGCCTCCCAAAAGCCGCAGCTTCTTCCTCAAGATGACTATATCTACCTCAACCTCACGCTAAAGAAAATCCCAACAAACCCACCCACAAGTCCCCTCAAAATCCCCCTTCCACATCCCCTCTTAGACCCCACGTCCGAGCTTTGCTTAATTATAGACGACAGGGCGACCTCCCCAACCCCTTCCTCGGAAGAAATCAAGAAATTGATCAAATCTCAGAATATACCTGTCTCCAAGGTGCTTAAAATATCCAAACTGAAGACAAACTACAAGCCTTTTGAGGCAAAGAGGAAGCTTTGCAATAGCTATGATCTATTTTTGGTTGATAAAAGGGTCGTTCATTTGCTGCCCAAGCTGTTAGGCAAGCAATTTTTCAAGAAAAAGAAGTTACCTTTGGGGGTAGATTTGAGTAAGAAAAATCTGAAGGCCCAAGTGGAGAGGTCTCTAGGGAGTGCGCTGTTGTATTTGAGGACCGGGACTTGTTGTGTGATGAGGGTTGGGAAGGTGGCTATGGAGAAGGAGGAGATTGTGGAAAACATTGCTAGCTTGGTTGAGGCGGTGGCCGAGAGGGTGCCTAAAAAGTGGAATGGTGTGAGGAGTTTGCACCTAAAATTCTCTGATTCAATTGCATTGCCAATTTACCAGGCATTGCCCGACATGAAGTTGAAAATTGACGGGATGAGGGAGAGTAAGAAGGGAGTTGAGGAAGTAAAGATGGATGATAATGAGGATGAAGAGAAAGAAAGTGGAAGGAAGGATGGTGGAAGTGGGAAAAAGAAGAAGAAGAAAGGGAGGATTCACGAGGTTCGGTATATGGATGTTGGAGATGAAATGGTGAATGATGAGAATGAGGTTGATGATGAAGCGACAATGAATGAGGATGACGATGAGCATAAGGGGAAAGAAGTGGATTTGATGGAGGAAAATAGTGAGGATGAGGATTTGATTGAGAGCAGTCACGATGATGATTTGGGTGGTAATGAACTTGGGGGAAATAAAAGGAAGAAGAAAAAGGCAGCGAAGGCAAGGGATTTAAGCAGCGTGAATGAGGAGAAGGAAATGAAGAGAAAAGCAATAACAAATAGAGGGGCCGAGAAGCTGAAAAAAGATGGGTTAGTGGGAAATAAGGGGTTGAGAAAGACTGGGAACAAGAAAGAGGCAAGGGAAGGAATTACCAAGGTGAAAGATAACAAAAGCAAGAAAAGAGTGTCAACAAAATGATCAACTTCAGACACAGAGATGCGGGCTTCAGCTACTTGGTTTAGTGAACTAAAGGTCTGAGGCTTCGCTGAAGAAATTTTTTGATCTATCTTGTGCTTTTATTTCTATGGTGGAGGGATTTTGTAGTACTGATATTTATGCCATCTTAATTTGTGCAATTTTGATTTTTTAATTATTCTGGATTAAATGCCTATCGATCTTGTGCCATTTCATTATTTGTTGCTTTCGATTTGGTGGCATGTGCTTTAATCAGTTTCTCTTAATATAATTCTTCTTATCCATGATTAAGAAAAATGAAATCTTTTACTGATTCGTGAGTTCTTTCAGAATGTTAATAGTTAAAAAGTCCAATGGCATGATGAGCTTACTATAGGTTTCCGGTGCTCTGCACTTCAGTGTCTTTATATGAGACTTGCAAGATGGGTATATACAAATTCCAATGGTACATGTTTGACATGTTAATTTGATCATTATTTTCCATAGCTTATTTAGAAGTAATGCTAGTCATATGAGACGGGATTGTATCTTGGGAGAAATTTCTAGAATTGAATTCTGATGGAGGTAAATGTTCCATGGGCAGTTGGTAGTTATCAGAAAGGATTTCTGAACAGAGGAGTATAGGCAAGGAAAGATAGGAGAATCCATGCCTAAATTGCTAATTATTACTTTGATAACTAATAAAACCATAATATGATTATGTCAAGTCTGTCTAAACTGAGGATCGTCTGTTTTTTGTTACATTATTTTCTATCAACAGTACATTGGTGTACGAATTAGTACATGTTTTATGGTGCACTCGTAAAAGTTCAGTGTCTAATTTGCTCTCAGACACTTGTTTTATAGCATCACCTATTAAAGGGATTTGGAATCTTTGCTTTAAACTGGTCACTTTGTTTCATGCTGACTGTTGGCATCCAAAAGTTAGATTTCTTGTTTGTTAACATTTATCTATAACATTGAAGGACAGCACAAAAGTGAATTAAAATAAAATCCAAGGACAAGCAGTGGCCTCATTTCTTCCAAAACTAACTTTATTCATATAAAATTTCACACACCCAGAATTTTTCCATATTATCCTAGAGTCTACTTCAAGTTATATAATATTGTCGTCTGAGAGAACTGTGGAAACTGAAATTGAAACTAGGAAGAGTTGTTTAGAATCCATTCAACAAGCTTTGCAACACCAAATCCAGTTGCAGTTTTCTTATCATCATACCAAACAGGGCCTGCCATTTTAATGTGCATCCACTGGACCTTCTCATCAACAATCTGCAGAAAAAACTACATTCAGATATCTCAACTACTACAGATTACCAAAATCATCTTTCAGTGAAAAATGAAGATATTGTATTAAAGTATTACAATAACATGTAATGCCAATGCTTATTCTTACATGCAGGGGGTAAATGATACATTTAACAATATACAGATGTTTCGATACAAGAATATATGTAAATTAGATGTTTCTAGAGGCTAGAACAGGGCGCATTTAGAGGCTAACGTTATAATATCAGCAAAAGAATGTTTTTTGGTACTTTCAGATACGCTGAACTCCACATATTCATCTACAGTAAAAGGTGGGGCGATCGGGGGGCTCTTGCTATAGCCAAACGTGAGGAAAAGATCATTTATCATTTATACTGATATTAGTTAGAATATATGAATTTAGAGTAGAGGTTATTTCAGAAAATGACCTCAATAAAGATCATTTATCATTTATACTGATATTAGTTAGAATATATGAATTTAGAGTAGAGGTTATTTCAGAAAATGACCTCAATAATTGTGTGATTATACTTTTGTTGAGATGAATAATTGAACGTCGTCACGAATCGGAAATAACCGATTTGTAATCGGAAATGATTGATGCCTTTTGTTAACTAAGGATTGAAGTACTCAATTTGACTAATCTCAACTCACACCAGGAGAGTTGGTTATATCATTTTTCTTGATCCAAGAAACATTCCTTCTATTACTGGATTACTCTGGACAGTAATATGATGCAATAGTATGGGAGCTTCAGGTTTCAGAGGCTCCATTATGAATCTTGCCTTATTCAATTTCCATTTCTACGTTGTAACATGTAGCTTTCATCCAAAATTGCAATAAATTGAGATCCAGTCTATTTTTCTATCCATCTCAGAGATGGAGATCTTGTTTCAAACTAGCAAGTTTGTTACCTTTGGATATACACACGGGAATTTTTGTGGAGGCTAGAGTGATCCAACTAAGATGGAGGGGGTTACTGCTCGGATCAAGATTTGCAGGAGACAACATGGTAGACAAAAGCACTTTCATAAATGTTCTTTTTGTAAACAACTACTAAAAGTTCAACCGTCAAAAGCTCAACTCATAATAATCGTACCAAACAAACCCTAAAGTAAAACCAAATCAACCTTGTATCAAACATTTTTATTTTATGCTTCCATCAAATATTGTGCTTTCCGTTTTTGAACACACAAAACGATGGGAATTCAAACGCAGTACTCCAGATTCATCGGGTGGGTAACTCACAAATCCCCCCAAGGATTTCCAATCATTATTTTCGTTAGATAATCCAATATTAGTTAAGAAGTGGGAATCATATTAAACCTTTCCTATATGTTGTAAACAGTGATAATCTATTTGATATTCAAAAGATTAATGCTATCTAGCACCATATACAATTAAATGAGTCACTTTATTATTCATTTCATTGAACCTATCACGTCAGGTCTCCTAAACTAATGTTATAGCACCACTGGTATTGGATAACATTTTCATGTCAACTCGAATTAATCCAAATAAATGAGAACAATTTGCAATTACGAATTTGGATTCTACAAGTCTTCAATAGTCATGGACTCCAAAGTTATTAACTTCTCAATCCACCCCTCTATGACAAGAAGAAAAAGAAATTAATACTAATAAACATGACTAGAAACATAAGTAAAATGAAATTAAAGTTGAGCCAATTCTTTATATTAATTAAAATGCCTAATATATACAGAGACAGAGTTTTAAGGAACCCCAAAATTCAATGTTCCACTTGATTCACAATAACATATAGAGCTGACCAGACCTAATTTTACACACTCCAACAACTAATCTAGTAAAAATTACTCATGGTTCTGAATACAGAAATAAAGACATTACTCATAAACGAAACTCAAGCAACAGTTAATTTAACATACAAGGAAAAGGAGAAGAAAACAATTCAAATGAGGTAATTTAAGCTACCTTATACTTCCATTAGAAAATGAGAGTAAATTGGACTCTTCCAGTTGTGCAAACCCCATTTTGATTTCAGCAAGGCTTGAATCCAATACTCAAGAAGGCTGGAGCTGATTCCACTGTTCTATCCCCTCCCGGATTCAATGCTTCACCTGTCAACTCACCTTCTTTGTCCACTGACCATTGAGTAGTTGGTTGGTTCAGATGTGGTTCGGTTTTCGTAATTTGCAGATTGTGCACAGACACCAGAGAAGCAGCAGCAACAAGAGGACTGCTAGTTCGGCCATGACGTTTCTTTGGTACCGGCATGTCATGGTCATGCACTCCCTTATAGGTTATTATTACAGCAATGGTGTTATTTACAGTTCTCTCAATATGCTTTCTAACAGGACATCCCGCTGATGTACATTTGTAGTAGTTCCTGGAATATATTCAATGGATAATTTAACATAGATAGCTTAAAGTAGAAAATGTTGCTTAACATGCTTATATTTTCTAACCAACTGCGAGTCTGCGAAGAGAGTTTCGCACGTGCAGAGATAAAAATGCAATTTAAAATGCAGTACTGAATATGGATGACGACTATGTCAACTTAATATTGAACACTAGTCCATCAATGGGTGATGGGCCTTCCAACGGCACCCATCGTCTTATACTCCTATCATATTGTCAATTTGACAGTCATCAATCATCAGTCATCAAAATGTTTGGTATGATGGATGGACAGTGAACAGAATTCATTGTTGAACATTCAGTAAGAATGTCATGGATTCAAACAAACATAAATATTTCGATAAATCATTTCTTAAGAAGAGAAGCTGCCATAAATGGCCAAGTCTTCATGAATTCAACATCGACGTTTTGTACAGTACATGTAATAATATTAAGCCCCTGTTTGGCAGAAATTAGAATTCAGATTTTAATCTATGTCAAAGTCAACAACTAATTTAACATTCATTTTATGGACACCAACTCTTCAACCACACATTTCATCAGCTTTTATCAAAATTTACTAAAAATCTGATTTTAATCACCACCAAACAGGGGATAAATTTGTGTAACACGTGTTTCTGCATTTATTTAAGGGGATTCCAGTATTGGTGACTATAACATCATACAATCAGAAACCAATAAAAAGTAGTTGCACGTCCAAAAATTTTCACATCACACAAGATCTGCAGATCAAGTTCCACATATAAGAAGCGCCCATTTCTTATTTGAAAATTGAGGAAAAGGAAGAAAATCAAGACAGTGAAGCCGACAGTAGTCAATAGTTGAAAACCAGATAATAATCCAAGGCCACAGAGATAGGCAGCGCTTTTCATTTGCAAAGAGACTAACATAAATGTGATAAAAATTGAACGATAGTAAGATATAAGCACACTGATAGTAAATTTATTCCCAGAAAAATAAAGAAAAAGACAGATTTATTTGGGTGCTTTGTCAAACGTGCGCTTTCTATTGATATAATAGTTTCTTCAGAGGCAGAAGATATAGAGACACATAATTGAAGGCACGAGAAATAATATCGCTAGAAGGCAACCTCAGAATTTTCACAAGAATTAGAACCTCAAATGTTTCATAATCCTCCAGCACAGGTTCATCCTCATCATGTAGTGTCAAGGGTCTGAGCTCTTATACATTCAAGGGTGTGGTCTTTTACCATGCACCATAGGATATTAGGACTTCTAAGAACAACAACAATAATAACAAATAAATGCACGGCATGATTAAGCGATTAGGCTAACCATGTTAGAAGGATACATGGCTGGATAGATCATCAATCACAGAATATTAGCATCAGAGCCACAGTATTATTACAGATAGGATTGACTACAGCTACTTGAAATTCATATGAGATTTAAGGATTTTCATGGTTCTCTTTAACTATGAAGCTAGGCCATTGATTTAAATGAAATCAATCAAATATAACAGTCAGCACTCAGCATTCAAGTGTAATATTTAAACTTGTGTGTCACCTTGGGTGAGGGTTCCCCTTCACCATTTTTTGTCCGTACTTCCGCCACCTATAGCCATCTCCTGATATCCCCACATCACCGGCTGCATGAACAAAAAATTTAGGTTTCTTTCCAGGCTTGGAAAAAGATCGTGAATCATCTGTAGCATTTTTCTTCAACCTGGCAATCAAAAGATCTGAAACATTATCAGATCCCAGTGGTGACATCTACCATCTGGAAAAGAAAAATTGTAACATCATGTGAAGAAATAATGACTCAAGAAAGTCAGCAACTTACCGTTTCTTTAGTTCTGGTTTGTCAACGTGCTTCTCGCTACCATTAATTTCCATGGTCTCATCAGAGCCACTTGAGTTTTGTTGTTTTATTCGAGGAACCTGAACCTTTTCTAGCAAAAGTTCTCTCGAAGTAGACAGAACAGACTCACTAAGACCACTGCCTGCTAGATCTGTATTGTTACTCCCATTAGCTGGCTCGACTGACGGTGCAGGCCTTTCTATAGAGAAGTTTACTTCTTGAGGAGGATCATGATTGTGGTGACTTCTATAAACAGTCTCTATGACATGGTTAGAGCGATTGCAGTGCTCAATCTTCTTAGCATCACAGTGAGAGAAAGTGCATCTGTAATAGCTCCGAGAACCTTCAGGACTCTTCACTTGCTTTTGACCATACTTCCGCCAGTTGTACCCATCAGAAGTTGTCTTCAGCATAGGCACAGAAGCTAAAGATTTTGGGTCCAAATGATTCTGCTTCTCCTGTTCCGCCAGATATGGATTGCTTCCATTATCTGCTTCTGACAAGTTTTGTTCCAGTAAAGTTGGACTTTAAAATGGATGAAATGGACTGTGTGTAAGTTGGCGGCAACTCCAACTTGGCCGGACCATGTGCCTGAACTTGGGCAGATTGACTAGTAATACCTATCAAAGGTTCCTCAGGGACCAATCTTACTTGATCCTGAGGCGTCAAAGCATGACGAAATTACAGAATATATCTAGAAAGTCTTCATATTATATATCTAATAGGATATCCATCTCATATTTAATAAATATAGTCAAAGATGAACTGCTTTTAATTAAAATAAACAGAAAAACTGGACCTTGTTGGGAAATTATTTAATTT